AGTGTCAATGATGGAGATGCTGTTTCTAAAATTTGGAAGTGGCCTTAGAGGGGCATAAAAGGACATAAATGCCAGGGCAAACCAGGAACACAAATGGCTGGCAGAGTCCCAGTACTACGGCTTCCTCTGCATGCAGAACCACACTTCTTTGTTCATGGCCCTCAGAATCTATTGCAAAGCTAAGGGACAGGATTTAGCCCTTATTGTCACAAAAACCAGCTAAGACATCCCAGAGTAGACAACCTTGCCTTTCTATTCATGAACCTACCTATTGCTGAAGGACTGGAGCTCATTAACTATGGAGTTTTGCTTTAAGCTGCAACTCCCTAACCAAAAATATATTCATTTACGAATCGTAGGTATTACATAGTTTAACACTGATATAATGAAAACTCCAGTGCAGCTAATATTTCAAACTGGATGCATCCATCATGATAATACTCTATAAATCTCTTTTAATTCTAGAAGACAGTGAAATATTTTTCTTCTGATAGAAATCATACCCCAGAAAAAGAAATACTGAACTAAACCAAACTTACAGTTTAATAGTAGTCTGTATTTCTCGTAGTACTGTGATCTTAACACACTTGACAACTTTGTTCAGGATGTAGCTTGAGTGTTTTTAGAGTCCAAACAGATGACAAAAGAGATTTTCAAAGCTCCAAGGATCTGCCTCCCTATCTGTCCATCTTTAAAATTTATACTCTTCTTAGCAGTATTTTTATTTTTAATTATATTTTATTTAATTTTAGGTTTATATATTTAAAGTAAGAATGCACATAAGCAATTATGATTTCTTGTTCTTATGTCCAGTAATATCTTAAGTATTTTCCTACGTAAGTATTTTTCATTATATGGTTGCTGATATTTAACAGATACTGGGGAAAAAATATCTCATTTATTCATCAGTTCTTACCTTCTCCATTACGTCCTGTTTCTTAGGATAATAAAGTTAATCTGGAGAGTAAACTCCAATTTGTTTTCCTTTTTGAAGGAGTAATAAAGTTTATTACTTTTGTTGAGTAAAGTTGCCTATCTTCAAACAATAGTACTGTGACTGACAGGTTAAGGAAAAAGGCTAAATAGCATCATCTTAAAACTTGTATAAGTACAATACTACTATATAAAATAGTATCATATATTATTTAATAAAACTAACTTGTAACAATGAGAGTAATTCTTCACTGAATAGTCTTCCCTTTGTTAATGCCTTAGAAATAACTCAAGAGTTGAAAAAGATTCTACTTTTAGGGGACACACGAATTTCAGTGGACAAAGCGCAGGGATTTACTTTATTCTGATTCCATTTGTATCTATGACTTGGTAAGGGGCCTTCAGTATCCCACTCAATTCTTTGGGTCTCCTCTTCTGTGAAAAGGATGGTCATATTTCATTGCATATGTCACTGTAGTGTGGTAAAATTAATCTAATGGCGGTGAATTTCTTTTTTAAAAAGCCCCTAGTGTAAGTAGTTCCTCATGATCATAAAAATCTCTAATACACAAGTTGATGGTACAGTTTATTTACCGGTAACTAATTAGTGCAGCTAATTTCAGAGAGAAATCACTCAGGTTTGGGAAAGACGCAGTTAGTGCCTAACTTTCTACCATTATTGTATACAAACACTTTTGTATTGTATAAAACCCAACACTTTTCTGCTGACTCTATAAATACAAATATATCTGATGTTATACTAAGTAAGTTCTGTCCTTTACCCAGTTCAAAATTACCTTTTATTGATGCAGAAATGGTTGGGAGATGTTTATTATTATTCAGGAAAGAAGGAATAAAAATGTTCTTAAGACATTTCTAATAATGAATGTCCAATAGCCAAGCTGATTTACGAAACAGAACACTGTCCTCCTATAATGCAATTTGCTATGACATCAGTAATCAAAGTGGCTCAGAGAAGTGGCAACTTGACACGGTGAGCTGGACCCAACAACTGCCAGTATGATTTCTGTTCGGAGGCTCTACCCGACTCTTGCATGGCTTTGATCACATTAACTTCCTTTCAGGTCAGTTACCCGAGACAACCTTCAGCTACAAAGTGGGGATGAAGTTTAAATTTTAGAAAAGCACCATGAGTTACAAAATACGAGTTCTACAGAAATGCAACATCCTACTACTGAAATATTAGAGGGAACGTCTTTCGAGAAATAGTATATATTTTTAATGCAGAATGAATGTGAGGCAGACTGAATTATTGGCATTAGAATATGAAAGTTCTGCGTATGTATTTCATATATGCAAATTCCTTACAAGGAACCAGTAACTTTCTGACAGATAAAATGACATTATTACTTTAAACAACCAGAGGTTGTTCTCAGTCAAAGAGAGGAGAAGCCGAGCCAGCCATGGTATACTTGAAACCATTTCTCGAAAAGAAGTGCAGACTAGGAGGAATCCTAAGTTATAACCACCCTCCGAACCACGAGTGAGGAGAGGGAGATGGCTAGGCCCAGGAATGCTAAATCAGGAAGTGCTTGTGGTTCGAAACAGAAGCAACCACATGAATAAGAGGTTTTAGGAGACAGCTAGACGACACTGATTGAAAAAAAAAAATATTAAAGCACAGAAAAAAGAAAACCAAGAAGGATTAAAAGGCCCCAAAAGATCTGTGTGCATTTGAATCTGGTTTCAGGAGAACAGAAAAGTAAAATACAAATAACTAAAGATTTAGACAGACTGTAACAATAAAACTTTTGTGTCATTAAAAAAATAAAAAATCTCAATTTGTTCTTCGTTTGCCATCTGGAAACTTTCTCTTAAACAAACAAATGAATGAAACACATACAACATAAAAGTAGTTTTCATTTTCTTCTACACACCTAGAAAAAGATCTCTTAATGACAAACCCTAAAATGTTATACTTTCAGTCTTGCATAACTCCATGGAGACCCTCTGAGCTATCATTGATCATCTGTAATGCTCCTCTCAGATGCTAGGAAGCGTAATTTAAGAAAAATATGAAAATGAATAATGTTTCAATATTAAACATAAAGGGAAAAGTAGTTTTAATTATCCTACAAACATTTGCATTGAGTAGGCAGAAAAAGATTTCCTGCACATAAACCATGTTATGCTCTTAAGAAAATAATGGAGCTAACTCCTGTTGTCTCACCCCTCACCTTCTATATTGAATGAAGTCTTTAATGAGCAAACCTTTTTTTAGGAAGAAATGATGCAAAGGAAAGCATCGCAAAACAAAACAACATGATTCTAATTCGACCTTTCCAGCAGTACAGTACACACAATCCACAACACTTTTTATCTGGAATTAGATCAAAGCACTTAAGAAGTACTGTTAATTTGTGGGAACATAACACATCTGCAGATGATTAAAGAGATGCTGCCACTTACCATTTGAAATGAGGAATTTGCTGTTGATACTTAAAAGAACTCTTTCCTTCCAATCCAACCCATAAGTCTAAAATGCTCCTTTAAAGAGTTTAAATGGCTTGGGAGGAGGGAGTATTGTGCCAAAAGACAGAAGACTCAAGCTTTGAAGCTGTAGGCATCTGCATCATGTTGATTATTACATCTAGTTTGCTCTGCTAATAAGTGAGGAAATGAGAATGGCCCATTATTGGATGGGACTGACCTCTATTTGGCTGTAAGGAAAATTACAATTTGGCTTTCTTACTCCTTTTCTTTAGATATGATGTTTAGAGGTCAAACTATCAAAGAAATGTTTTGGCGGGAAAAGCATGATTTTGATGCCAAAAGCATCAGCTTCGTATTTTTTTCAGTGAATGGGAAGTATGAGGACTTCACTGTAAGAGCAGTCAAACCCTGGAACAGGGGCTGAGGGAGGCTGCAGAATCTCCATCCTCAGAGATACTCAAAACTCAGCTGCACACAGCCCTGAGCTCAGGTTCCTTCTAACCTAATTTACTCTATGAAACATCATGCCTGTTTCATACTAATTTTGATAGAATGGTTCCTTTCATAATGAAAAACAAAAACAAAATAAAGAAGGTGGTGCCTGAGAATTGCCCTTACACTGAAGAATACTTTCATGTCTCCATCATACCTGCAGATGCAGATGTCCTTGCACAGATCCATCTCTGCCCAGCTGCGAATTGGACTTAAGAGTTGAAGTGGGGGACGACTGTTGATTGCTTCAGGCTTTGCCAGTATCTCTCCATGCAGATACAGATTGTTTGTTCTAACAAGTGCTACATCTGCAGGGGAGCTGTAATAGCGGCCATCCAGAACCAAGAAAAACAGGACTTTAAATACTTTTGGGGAGATGGTTTGGCCGTATACCATATTCTCAGAATCCTGTTATTCTCTGTGCCTAATAGTCCTGGTATATTCAAAACAGTATATACAAGAGACATGCCTCAAACAAACAGATAGGAAAAGAAACCATTTCTTCTTTCATAAAATCTTGTACTTCCCCTGTTTAAAGAATAGGAAATAAATACAACGTATCAAAAGAGGGAGTAATTAATTTATACAGGTTAACACAACTAATGACATGTTAAGAAAAATCCTAAAATCTATAGTCTCAGCAAAACAAATGAAAGACTAGTCTCTTCTTGTCTTCTGATTTCATGCATAAAATTGATGCTTTAATCTTGTCTGGCACGGTCTTTCAGAGTATTATCTTCAAGTCTATTTAATTGATCAACAATTCTTCTGTCATCAACAGAAATGTCCCTTGCCTTTGTTCACTAATTACAATGATGGGTGTTTTATAAAATTTTATGGAATTCAACTCTTTCAAAGGTTTTGATGACAGTTGTTGTCCAAACTGAGTGGTAACTCAATTCAGATTTCCTGATTTGTGGAAATTCAGATTTATATCATATGCAACCCATTGATTTTTATTTTCAGGAGTTAACTCAATCTAGTCTTATAGTAACAAGCCTTAAAATCTACTTCTAGCTAAAGTATAAAAACAATGCTAAAATCTATCAATATAATTTTCATTATTGCTTGTAAAATTAAGCATATACTTATTTGCATTTAAATCTTTTTCTGTGTTACAGTGATTCGAGCAAAAATATCCAGTGAAAAGGTGGTTCCTGCCAGTGATGATCCTCTTGATACCCACAAAATGATCCGGTATGAAATCAAACAAATAAAGGTACATGGAATCACTTGGCTATTTTGAAGTTCAATGCTGATAACCTATGTATATGACTACAACTTAGCCCTAAATACTTTAAAGCTGGAAAAGGCTCCAGATGCCTCCACGGTTAGACTCAGGTGAACTACACAGAATAAATCAAAGTAGGGATAAAACAAAGGCGGGGGGTGGAAGTTGTTCTGATATTCATGAGTTGCTTGCTAAGTAACTATATTCTGATGAAGATTTTTGTTATTCACAATTGCTTTATGAAGACTTTATGAAAACCTACTTCAGTTAATGAATAGCGTTCAATACATTTGCTGTTTCTGGTGGGTACTCAATCACCTATGTTGCAATTCTCTGACTGGATGATGCAAACTTTATAAACAGAAGAAAGCATTTCCAGCTGAAATAGCAAAGACCATTGTTCATAAGTGAATAGGGATATTTGCAGACACAAGAGTCCTTCCCTGATATTCATATAAACAAAAATCCATTTGTACGAATGTTGCTAGTAAAGCAAACACAAAGTGGGAGCACCCAAAAATGCAGTCATTCAGGATCTCACAGGATTTTTCCATTATTTGTTCAGCTCCAGTAAGGAGACATTCATTAATGTACTTTAATAAGACCTATCTTGATCCTATTCAAGTCACCATCAAACTCTCACTGATGTAAAAAAAGATCATGATCTACCTGTTTCTGGAATACACAAAAAATAGGTAGTCTCTTTCAATTAAAATGTGTTAGTTTTTTGGTTGGTTGGTTGGTTTATTTAAGTTTTCTAGGTACTTTTATCTCTCATTTGTCATAGAATATTATTTTGTATTTGTATTGATTTGTATTATTACATTTACGGGGAACACTTAAGTAGACCATTATGAACGGCTAAATGCTTTAAAAAAAATTTCAATCCTTCAGATTCTATCAGTAGATCACCTCACAGGAGTTTTACTAAGAAAAATCTGTGGTAAACAAGAATATCTCAAAATATTCACATGGATGGTTATTGCACATGACTTCTGTTAAGGTTTTATAGCAATTTCAACAAGCCAATTCTTTTTACCTTGCTAAAATAAAAGCCAAAACTCCTCAGCATCTGCCACTTTCTGTCTTCTTAAACTATTAAGGATATCTTAAAATGTTTCTTTCCAGAAATTAGCATATAAATACCAAAGCGATTCTCCTTCCTCCCATTAGCACTTTAATTTTCTGTTGCTACTCTGCAACACTTCAGTAACCTTAGAGAAATGCAAATCATCTCATACTTGAGCACAAAATAATGAGAAGTCTAGTCTATGTTATTATTTTCAGTCAATAATCCTGTTCTTCAGTAACAGCACACTGAAATCTCTGAAATACATTCAGATATTGGAGCTACTTTGGAGTTTCTCACGAATTTTCGTAAATGGAGGCCTATTCAAAACTCAGGCATCAGTAAGAGATTTTTATTTAATTCCACTAAGCTTCAGAAGGCCAATCAGCTAGGACTGGACAAACCAGAGAGATTTATTTTCTAA